TAAATCAAAATTAGCCAATGAAATCTAAATGAGAGTTGTAGAGCGTATTCTCACCTACGCGTGCATATATAGAACGTCGAAAACGGAGCTCGTACGCGGAAGTTACGGATTTTACAAGTTTGAGGCACAAAATCTGAGGCTGTCAGGCTGGCCGCTACGTGGCACAGTAGGCCACGACGTGGCACAGTGACTGATGGGTTTTCAGGCTTGGCAGCAGACGTCTCGTCCATGGAAGAGGATAGGACCGCCTCCATGACATGGCAACCTTATGGCCACGACGTGGGACCCAAAAATTGGGCTATAAATAGAGCTCAAGGGGTTCCGGGTTTCATTGCTCAATTCCCTTCTTTCTCGTGCCGAAGCTCTGCGATTTAACCCCCGAATCCATCCCGAAGCCCCGGTCTTCTCATCCAAGTTCCGAAGGAAGGTCTTACACTCTCGAGAATTCCCGAGAATCCCGAGAAAACCCGCTTTCTCCTGTCGAAGTTCTGGTCGGTTTTCATCTCACCATCTTCACTCTATCAAGTGAGTTCATACCCCTATAACTACGTTTTCAAATGCTTTTTAAATGCTTTTATACACTCTAAAGGGGGGGAATACAAGTAAACACACGATTATCCTCGTGTGAAAAACATCAATCTTTTGCTATGCTTTTTGGTTATGAAATCAATCATATGTGATTTATAACTATCGTACGAAAACGTTCTCATACAACATATCACGATAACACTTGTCTTTTTGGAATGAAACATGTTGTTATGTAAATATCAAACACTTTATTTATATTTTGAGTATAAATATTCAACAATGTTATTACAAATGTTATACTTTACATACAAAGTCAACACTACACTAGGGTTTATCATACAAACGAATCACACTTTTGGAAAAACTATAATAGGTATAGTTTACTAGATATTCATGAGATTTTACATACTATAAATACTATATCAAGGTAATACTTTCATATACAAGAGCAAATGGACTTTTCATACGTAAATCTATTTGATACTAAGTTTTGTGAGACATTCAACTTCACGTACTTTCAAGTATGTAGTTAAAGTCCTGTATTATATACCATAATCTCTTGTAGGGAGAGCGTGATTCTTGTGTATAGATCTATACGGGATTGACAATCCCGCACCTAAACTGTTAGCTACAGTTAGACTGACAAGTCTAGGGTGACAATCGTCATAACATTCCAACGCCTGAAGAACGTTGTTACGGGCAGTGTGGGTCAATAGCACGGTTATAAAACTCACATGGAGTATTAAAAACACTTTGATTTACGGGGTTATCAAATGCCTTAGTGATTTTATACATACATAAATCTACTATTCTAGGCATGAAAAACACTTTTGCATTTCAGTTTTGGAACTTTTAAACTACCACACATACATGGAAAAACATTGGATTTCTAGAAGCAAACATTCAAATCAGTCGGGTCTTGGTAGAAGACTACTTTTATACTAGTAGGAAATATGGGATTTTCTAGGAGTTTTCAAACATTTACAAACAATTCATTCAGATTTACACAAACATTAACATTAAATACTTATGAACTCACCAGCTTAAATGCTGATCTACTCTTTCAAATCTACTTGTATTTCTCAGGGATTCAGTAATACAGGTAAACTTCAGCTTTTGGAGAAGTGACGCTAAGGCGTCAGTTTAAAACTCATTTTTGTCATCATATTGTAATTTGTTTTGAAACAAGTATCATTCAACAATCTAACTTTTAAATTATATATATGATGGTTGTTTTACTTTCTTTACTATGTATTCAACTGTTACGATACTACATGAAGTCATCCACCCTCGAACGTTTCCGCCGTTCTGGTTTGGGGGTGTAACAGATGATGTTTTCAGTAAATTGTTTTATAAATTACTTAATTAAAAACAAAATTTTTGGTCTTCAAATTTGGAATGTTACTATATATATATATATATATATATATATATATATATATATATATGAAACAATTTAAACGGATAAATAGAATTTAGGTACAAACTTAGTATATTATTAAATGCAATGTTATCTGGTTTAATCGAAAACTGAATCAAATAAACTCGAATCGAATAAACCAAAACTGATATTATTTTTTTCAGGTTTTATATATATATATATATATATATATATATATATATATATATATATATATATATATATATATATATATAATATATATATAACTAAAACTAATATTTAAGAAAACATAAAATTAAATAGTAAGTTACAATACCATGAAAACAACAATGGTTCTTATTAGAAATAATAATTATAAATTAAAAATGTAAAACCAAATTATTTTTAAATTAATTAGCCATGACAACATTTAAAAATAATGTAAAATCAAAAATAATATTTCATTTTATTCGTATACAATCCACAAATAAACGTCAATATGATAATATGATTCTAAAATATGACTATATCAAATTCCTTAACAAAATAGATATTTTAAAAAACAATAAATAAAAATTTTTAATTTAATTTATTCATATCCAACCCATAGATAGAGGTGATTTAGATGATTTAATTTTAACTAGAGGTTTCCCTCGCGACGGTTAAGAGTGGTGTGCTTGGTACAATAAATAATGTTTTGTTCAGCCTAGGCTACTTTTTGATGTTTCATTGTAAATCACAACAACAATTTTAAGTTAATATTAATTTGTGCTGAATTATTTTGTAACGATTACATGAGATATTAAAGCATAACAACAAGGCATATTGAAAAACAAAAGTTAAAAACTTGATAAGACATGTTTATCGATATAGAAATACAATGGAATATGGTACTTCTGTTTTTCCATTTTGTTGTTTTTTTCCTATCGATAAAGATTAATCTATAAAAATTTGCTGCTATTTTTTCTTCACACTTTTATAATATTATGTTGTTTTTTGTCATACTTCCTACAAAGTTCCCAAATTAACAAAAACATTCATTAAATTAGGACCATATTTTCCGGTGAAGTTATTTTTCTTAGCGGTGGATATGTCATATAGATAAAAATATATGTAATCTGGCAGTACTAAGATTTTGAAATAAGAGAACTTACCAATTTATGGACCCTAAGTATATAAAAAAGGACCGATATACTTCTTGAAAGCGGCCTTCTTCGTTTGGGAAATCCACCATGCACAAAGAAGTATTATAACACTACAAAGTTATTTGTAATGTACATGCATTAGTATTACAATGATGGTTTACTTTGTAGCAAAAATATGTCAAAGTAACATCCTACTTTGTCAAAACATGCTAACTTACTTGATATACTTTGTTAATTTCTTAAAATTAGAAGAATGGAATAAAATGACAAATTTTGAAGATTAAGCTATAGGTTTATTTTGTCAAGTAGCAAAATATGTCAAAATAACATCATGCTTTCATTCAACATGCTATTTTGGTAGAATTTTGAAAGCATGATGCTATTTTTAAAGATCCAACTAATTAAAAATCAATCAAAATAGCATCCTAATTAAAAAATCTATTAAAATCACATTTTGACAATTTTGCCAAAGTAGGATGCTATTCTAATTTGTACGTAGCAAGCAGATTTGGTTATTTATTGATCATTTTTTTAATTAACAGATTGAACATTTTACAGATTAAATAATCAACTAAAATACCATAGGGGCCATTTCTACAAATTACTCTTTTTTATATTTATAGTTTCCAATTATTTAAGTTAATAAGTTTTAGGGAGTTTTTGAAACAATAGAATTCATAAGCTTACATTATATGCTTTATGCTTTGTTGGTTTCTTGAAATTAGAATTCACATTCACTTACTTTGCACACATCTGGAGATACTGTAATAATATCATCTGATCAGATACAATAAGTTTTTAATCAAATGTATCGTTTAATCAACCGAAAATCATAGGGATAATAAATTAATAATCTAGTCGTTTCATTTACGGAGGCCGCTTGTAATTTTGTTTGCTAGACTCAAGTGAGTTTTGTAACTATATTATGTGTGACATCAGATGTCTTTGATTGATAGGTTGTCTTTGTGACATCTATGAGACTGGTTATATCATAATATTTGTATGTGAGACTATAGTTAGACTATAACACTGATATGTGAGACTATGGTTAGTTAAGAGTAATGAGATGTAAGACTATAGTTGTACTATAACAATCGTACGTGTGAGACTGTGGTTAGACCGTAACAATTGTATGTTTGATGGAATGTATGGTATATTGTGGAACTCATCAATTTTTTGAGCTTGTGTTTTAAAGTTAAACGTTTCCAGGTTGTTCAGGTGTGTGAAAAGGAAGGGTGTTGCGTGACTGTACACTCGCATCGATGTTATGATACTATTTGAGACTTCCAATGGTTTTTATGATTTAACATTATGATTTTGATTTTGAAACAAATGGTTGTTGTGATATGTATTTAAAGGATGAGTTTTGGATGTTTAAACTAATTCTAGAAATGAAATTTTTGGTTTGAAATTTAGGACGTTACATTAGTTTAAAGACATCACATGTACTGATACCTTAGAGAGTCGATATGCTTTAAAAAAAATAACAAAAGATAATACCTATATATTTTATGCTAGATTCAACCGATGATAATTCATTAAAACTTCTATGCATTTCAACCTATTTCTATTCACGCGGGGATGTTGAGAAAAGAAAACATGATTTTTGTTAATTAGAATAATATGAATGTTTTTAATCGACACTCGACATATGTAAATCTATAAAATCTAGATTTTTGCGATCTAGTTAATATTTAATGGGGTTGCTCTCCTTTGTAATTGTAACCGTAACGATAAGCACTCTAGAAGAAGTGCTTTAACCGTATAATTTCCAAACATATTGTTTGTAACTAGAGACCATAAAAATCAACTTTACTAGTTGTTTCAAAACTTAAGTTTAACCCTTGATGTTTTTTTCAAGTCTATGACAACTACCATCCTTGATACCGGTCACACATATCCATAATAACCATCAAAAGTCTATAGAACAACATGAAGGCTCAAAGTGGAAGAGAAGGCTCGAACCAGTGACCCTATCTTGAATATAATGTAAGAGAATGACCTTGGATACAAATGGAATTAAAAACACATGCACCATAACATATAAATTGTGGCAAATGAAGAACCATTTGTTATCATTAGTACACTTTTTTCGTTGGTGAAGTCAAGTGCTCTCACATAATGCCATGATTACTTCCATATCCTTCTGTACTTCTTGCTTTCTGGGCACTCGAAATAAGCATCCAAAGCTAGACGAAGGAAACCATATAAACCAATATCATATGTCTCATTTTATTTTTATTCTTTTGTCATTTGCAACATATCATATGAAGTCATAAAATTGAAACACCAATAAGAAGAATCTTATTCCCATACTTGCATTATACTTTCATAACCCATGCCCTAAAAAATATAAACTAAAATTTGGGTGGGAATCCCTTGACAATATAGATTTGGTTTATTATGAAATTAAAAGAAAAATATAAAAAAAAATAGAAGTCGTCAAAATATGAATATTACAAAAACAGAAGGTTACCTATCTACAAAGAGAGGGCTGTATTTGTACAAAAAGAACAAAACCACTTAATACACTTCCACATTCCATTGTCCTTCCTTTTTCAACTGCTTCTTGTATGTTACCCAATCAATCCCTACCAAAAAACAAACAAAAAAAATGAATTACAAGAAACAAAGAACACATATTGAATGAGGGTATTTCGGTAATTTACCATCTTCAGCAGCCAATGTACCCATAATGTCATCAATACCCTTCTCCATACCCTTAAGCCCACACATATACACAAAGGTGTTGTCTTTCTTGAGTAATTCCCATAGTTCTCTATCATATTGAGCCATTCTTGTTTGAATGTACATCTTTTCACCTTTCTCATTAGTTTGCTCTCTACTCACAGCAAAGTCAACTCTTAAGTTATCTGGTTTCATCTCCTTCATTTTCTCAAATTCCTGAAAGATTTTAGAAACACATGATCAAGTTTGGAGTCGTTTTTTTCAATCATCCGATTTTTTAATCTTCTTTTTGAAACATGAATGAATGATGACAAGTTTTTACCTCTTTATATAACAACGAACTACTTGTGGGAACTCCCAAAAAGAGCCATGCCAATCCATTAAACTGCAATTATAAAATCAAGTTTAAAACTTTATTTTGTCAAATTAATTATAATTACTAGTCAATGAGATGAGAGGTGATAAGTTTTTACTTTATAGTCTTCGTGTTTCTCAAAGAACATTTTCCACATAAATGATCGAAATGGAGCAATACCAGTTCCTGTTGCAAGCTGCATTCGAAACATATCATTAAATGTTACATTTTTTTAATAGAATAATGAGTGTGAAAAGTTTTATTGAGTGGAAAAACAAAAACTACCATTATAACAGTTGCATTAGGATCTTTTGGCATAAGCATTTCTTTTCCAACTGGACCTGTTATTTGCACCTCTGCTCCAGGCTTCAAGTCGCCTGATTTGTTTTTAAACAAATATTGTTCATGTTAGAAAATAAAAAGATTCATACTATAAAAGGGAGAAAAGAAAAAAGATAGAATAAAGTTTAGTAACAAAAAGTTAAAGATTTATTCTCACATAAGAAGTTAGAGCAAACTCCTTTAACTTCTTCTCCTGCGTCATTGGTGTAGACTAGTCTTTTTACACACAATGAAACCTACACAAAATATGTTCACAAGATTGATATACATGCGCACATGAGTCTTTATTTGAATACATATGAACTATCGTAATTTTCTTTTTCTTACGTGTTTACACTACAAAATACCACAAATTACAAAAACAATCATTATATTTTCGGAAGTTTTGTGGTTTAACCTCGAATACTTTCATTTTTCCAATCAAAGAATAAAAGTTTCTGAATTTTTTCCATATTAACCATTTTGACCTTTTTGTTATATGGAGTTTCACCGGTAATTTCCAAATTAACCGTTTTGACATGTTACTAAATTGGAAAAATATGTGTTTGAAACTTTTATTGTTTGATTTGAAAAGGTAAATATGAGAGATGATCTTGATGCACCAATATGCTTAAAATTGGTTTCAAAAAGAATGGAATTTTGTAGATATGCTTACAGTTTTGGAGTCTCCAAAGTCACCAAGAGCACTACTCGCAATGGAATACAATCTCAATTTGTGTGGCTTTCCATTCTTTGGGTCAATTCCATCGGGAATTACACCAATGGATTGTCCTTCTTTATATGGGATCTCACCTAATCAAATCGAACAATAAACCAATCTTGATTTCACTCCAAGAATATAAGAATAAGAACATCTTGTATAAAGTTTGAATCTTTAACTACTAAAAGATAATCTTTTTGTATTGATCAAGAAGGGTTGATGAATACCCATATCAAATTTGGATCGATCATACCTTCGGTGGTGAAGACCATGTGCCAAGTTTCACCAGGGGCATCGTCGCCGGTGATCTTGGTGTTGAGAAGACACCTACCAACGTAAGGTTCCTTTGGGCGATATTTATTTGTAACTACACCTTCTTCTTGTTTCTTTGAAATTTTCTCTACTTTAGCAGGAGCTTCTGTTGTAACTTGAGCTCTAATTGATAGCGACTTAACATTTGATGACACATTTTTGTAATATGGCACCTAAACATGAAGAAAGACACAAACCCATTTCAGAGAAAGTATAAAAACTAGAACTTTGCATGCAAGAACCCATGATATGCAAAACCCACATGAAATGTAGAAGAAGAGAGTGAAATTAAGATACCTTTGTGAAGGAGACTCGTTCTTGAGTGATGAGGGATGTTCTTGTTGAAATCGCAGCGGATTTAGAAGATGGGAGGGAGACTATAGCACTTACTGCAGAAGCCATGATGATCGAACAAAATGAAGAGTGAGGAGGGATAAGAGAAAGGGAAGATATACTATGAGTGAAGAAGAAATGCGATGTTGAAGGGAATGGATATTTGTGAATTGGATGGAGGAAATTAGAAAGCCAATGGCAATGGCAGATGTGAGGATAAGAAATTTGTGTTGTCTTTGTACACTTGTGAGTTTCTGTGGCCACAAACGTGATTTCCCTTTTGAATTCTTAATAAACAAGATTATTTTTCTCAAATGATAAAGAACAAAACAGATTCTATAGGAAAATATCATCTTTTTTTTTTTTTTATGTATCTTAGGATGAAAAGTTGTATGGATTATTGATTAGATATTTTGTTATATACGTTTCATATTGATACATATTTCATTTTTTAATTTGTAACTTTAACAAAATTTGTTGGTTATCATTTATTTTGCTTTATACGTCCTACATTTATACACATTAAATGTAGACAAAAATACATAAATTCTTCATTGTGGTTTATCAAATGTTACGAATTCAGTCCATGTTAATTTTATTTATTTTTAAGAATATAATCCTTATGGTTTCTAAAACTTACATAGTTGGTCATGGTCCATGTACAGAGATCCTTTTATCCTTTTTATTTAATTTACCTTTATTTATGTTTAAATGCAATTTATAAAAAAATAATAATAATAATAATAAATACATAAAGAACACCCACCCCAACCCACTACCCCACCCCCACTCCTTTCTTTACTATTCATCGAGTCTCTTCTCCAGTTTGCTCATAGATTTCAAACTATTTAGTATTCAATTCCACCACTTACACGCACTTCTCATCTTACTTCCGACATGTTTCCCTTAATTTCTTCATAATCTTTTTAGTGGTTAATCCTGAAAAATATGAGGAAATTTTCAAAATAAAGTAAAAGAACGGAAGTTAAAAAGATTGGAGTTTTCACTAATTGGAAGTAAGACCTAGAGTTATACTTGTATAAAAGAGATTGAAGTTTCCATCAAAACAAAACATATTATTGGTAACCCTCTAGTTTCTTCTTCACTGGTTTAAATCAAAGATGTCATATTTAAGTAATCTTGAATAAGGTTTTCTAATCTTTAATGTTATTTTCGAATAAAAATGTGACATGTAAATAGTATTGAATTGGGATCAATTCATCATATTTTAGTTTTGATCATATCTTGAAGGTCACCGAATTTCACTCTTTCTGCCACTACCATGAATTTGGAGAGTTTTAGGTTTGTTTTTGGTTTGATTCAACACGATGATTGATGCTTGTACGGAGACAATTGTTCCAAGAAATCCGATAACAGAAGGTAGACCGAGATCAATGATTGAAACTTGTGAATCAGTGATGTTGGTACTTGGTAGGCGGAGGCAGAGTGAAGTCGCTAATGATTGAAGCCATGTGAGAAGGTTGTAATTGTGGAGGTGGAGTGAGACTCACTAGCGATTGAGTTAGGGAATGGATGATTTTGCGTTTAACACTCCAACTAAAAATCACAATAAATTTAATTTTTTTCAAAACCAACCATTAATCAACATTGTTTAAAAAAAGTGTCATTGTTTCAAAAGCATTATGTAACACCCCATCTATTAAATAAATAAATAAACAAATTAATGAACGAATAATAGCCATAAAATCAATAATTATATAGCAAGGTGTTGGTTTCGAGGAGTTAACTGGCATAATTTAGAAGTTGGGGGCTAAAAGGGTAATTTATGGATTGGCTTTGCAAATAATCTCGAAAGCTAAGGGGCGTTTGATAAAATATTGGACTTAATTTGAAGGGATTTTAGATGGCTGGGGTTAAAAAGGTAAAATATGGACTCATTTTGAAAGAAATGGGGGAAGGAGGGACTGAATCTGACATTATGGAAAAGGTTGATATGGGACGGGAGTATATAACTGTTACCCTCATGACCCAAACCCTAACCCTAGGAGTCCCTCACCAGCCGCCACCCTTATGCCTCCCTCTTCCAGCCGCCGCACCACCACCCATTTACTTCCGTTCTCCGGCCGTCAAAGACCACCGCCCTACTGTTGCTTTGCTGCCGGTAGTCGTTGTTGTTGCCACCTTCGCCCGTGATCTTCCAGTCGCCGCCATCGTCGTCAAAGCCGAAAACCACCGTTGAGGCGTCGTTACAATCGGGAATGTCGTCGTTCGTGTTGCTGCCGCCGGCTGTAGGCGCAACTGTGGCCGCCGTTCGCTGCCGCCATTCTTTTTCTTCTTCCTTTTCGTTCTGCTGCCGATGGTCACCGCTATTACCGCCTCCAGCCACCGTTGTTTCTTCTGTTTCACGATTTGTGGGTTCTCCAGCTGCCGCCTCCCTCCGACGGTGAGGTTGCTGCTCCGTGGGTGTGTGAGTTCCATCGTGCGGGTGTTAGTCCCAACCCATGTCGCGTGTAAGAATGTGTTTAGATGGCCAGAAGATGCGATCAACCACCATGGCAGCCAACCATGGTGGCTGCCGCCCATGATTACTCCCTCTGCCGCCACCAACCACTGTGGGGGGTGGTGTGTGTGTGTGTGTGTGTGTGTGAGTGTGTTTGTATGGGTTTTGTGAGTATAATCTTGTATGCATGATTTTTGGCCGGAAAACCCGTCACCACCACCGTGAGGTGGTGGCTGCCACCATGTGCTACCGCCGACCACCACTAGGGTGGCTGTGTGTGTGTGTGTTTGTATTAGTATGTGTGTGTGTGTGTTATTTGGGTTTTTGCTTTGTAATATTGTAACCGATGCTAGAATAATAAAAGAAACTCGTAACCACCACCGTGAGCCGCCGTTGACCACCACTACCCGAGGTGGTAGTGGGTGGTGCCCGACTTAGGAAAAACCCTAATGGACCTTATGAAACTCTAATGGGCCTAAGGACTTAGTTTTTGAGCCTAATTGGGTTGTGATGGGTGCAAAACCCTAATTAGGGTTTAGAAAACCCTAATTTTGGATATATGGGCCTTGGACTTATCGGGACCCACATTTGGGCCATTGGAATGAAATTGTGAATTACACCCAATCACACCATATGACTTATCTAGTAGATTGATGGAGTTAATGGATTAAGTCCATAATGGGCTCAGTGAGAAACACTTAACCCTAATTGTCATTTTATATGAAACCCTAATTTCACTTGGGCCTTGAGTTGGGCCTTTCCATTGGGCTTTGGTGATTGGGCTAATAATGGGTCATTCAAGAACAACTTTATGGACTAAGAATATATGAATGGGCTTTAGGGTAAGGCCCATATGAGGGTTTGGTCCCAATTTGGAAAATTAGGCCATAGATGAGCCATAATTGGGGCTTTATGATTATGCGATATTGGGCTATTAGAAATGCCAAATGTTTGGACCGGACTAAATGGTTGGGCCTTAGAATAAGACCATGTAAAGGTTTGGGCCCAATTTGGAAAATTGGGCCATATGTTGGGATTTGACTCATAGTTGACTTTTGGGCCTTTGGATTGGGCCTTGGGCTTGAATAAAGCTAAGTTAGCGTTAAAGTAGTATTTACCCCAAGTATGTACTTATGGTTATGTGTTGGAACCCAATTATTAAATGGGTGTTATTTTGATGTTGACAGATTGGGAATCTGTCATCCAGCACCTAGAGTCTTCGTCTACGGGACTTCATTAGTGTGAGGTGAGTTACCTTCCAATAGAAGTGGGTCTAAGGCCACAATGTCGGCCCACTAGTAGGAGTTAGTTGATAGATGATTTTCCTTGTGATAATTATCTAGGTTTGCTACTACCTGATAAGCTTTATGTGTTGACATGATATGATGTTATGTGATAGTGGTAGTAGGGGGAATAGTCCTCGGTTACCGGGTCGATAGGGCCGAAGGGGTAGTTTAGTACCCAACTATGCTAGACAGATTATGATACATTTGATATGATATTATGTGGTAGTAGTAGGGGTGAAATAGTCCCCGGTTACCAGTCGACAGGACCGAAGGGGTAGGTTGGGCACCCCGGTATGCCTAACAGGGGTAGGTTGAGCACCCCGGTATGCTCAGCAGGGTAGGTCGGGCACCCATATATGCCTGACATGGGGTAGGTCGGGTACCCCGGTATTCCTGACAGTATGTGATTTGTATGGTATGTGGTATGGTGGGGGAACTCACTAAGCTTCGTGCTTACGGTTTACAGTTTTGGTTTTAGGTACTCGTTTTCAAAGGGAAGGAGCCGGTTTGATCGCAACGCATCACACTATGTTTTCCGCACATGAGATCTTTGGGATTACACTCTGATATTATTTTATGATAACATGTTTTGATTATTGACACTTTTGTCTTGACATGTGATGTTATTACGGATGTCTTTATACTATTGGTTTTTATAATAACTTAATTAAAAATGAAATTTTTGGTCTTGAATTTTGGGATCTTACACATTATTTCAAAATCAGAGTTTTCCCCAGACCCAGTGACATATAACAAGATGTTGTGCACGATCACGCATTGCCTTCCCACGATCCTCTGAAGTACCTGGAACCATAAACTAAAACTGTAACCTAAAGTTTTGTGAGTTCCAACAAAATACCAATCACACACACACACACACACACACACACACACACATATATATATATATATATATATATATATATATATATATATATATATAACAACATATATTGGGTCTACAACCTATGTCTGGATTACCCCTACAAGGTCCTCAACATAGGTCTGGATTACCCCCGAGCCCACAATATGAGTCTGGCATGCTATTCGGGCCCTCATCTCATATATGGATTGCTCTCGAGCCCACAGCCTATGTCTGGAATACCCCTACAAGGTCCTCATCATGCAAACGTCTAGATTCCTCCGGGTTTGTTGGCTACCACACAAAGCAATACAACCTCAACCCAACACAATATGTCGACATATGTAACAGGTAAACATAACACAAAACCAACAAATATAGATACTCATGAAGATCTACTAATTAGCTACAAACTAGCATAACACCATCTTAACCAGGATAAATAATCTAGTTGGCCGACAGTGGTGCCTTCGACCCACGGGTAGTGTGAGGAAGACTCACCTCTCAATCTGAATGTGGTCTGAATAAATTTCGGCTCCAACAATCGGCTCAACCCGTCTCCTAAATATCAATACATTTCCCAT